ATCGTGCTATAGATTTGGGGCAACTGTGTGGCAAATGTGATGGCACGCCAAAAAAAACAGCAGTACATTTTGCGCACCGGAATGTATTGCACGCCCCAAATGTATTGCAATCCCACAAACCTATTGCACAAAATCTATTGCACCCCTCCCCCCCTTGTCGCTGGACCCCATTTTGGGTCAACCCGAAGAGGGGGATGGCGAGCGTTCTAAGAAGGCGCGGGGTGCCTCGAAGGGATCGGATCGGAGGCGTCCGAGAAGGCTTCTCGGGGGGCCTCTCAGTGGAATGCTGGGGGCCTCCGAGGAGCCCCCCTCGCAGCTTTCTTGGAGGCCCTCTCTGCGCCCGCGTGCGCCGCCGAGACCCGACGTGCCCGCCGCCCCCGTGGCGCAGACCTCCGGGGGGCCGAGGGCAACATCGCATGCGACGGTGCCGGTCTCTGTCCTCGCCATCGCTCGGACGTCCATTCCCTGTGTTTTTTCGGTTTCGTGCGTGGTTTTTTCTCGCCAAATGATCAAGGATGCTCCTCGATGGTCCTCGCCGAAAGGAAAATGCACACGTCCGAGCGATGCCAAGTCTGCCTGCCTGGTGCCGGCCTCTGCGCGGGCAGCGCTCGGAGCCCCAGCGCCTGCAGCATGTCGCCGTGCAGCAGGCAGGGTCCCGAGGGCACGGGTCCTGGAGCTCTCGTCGCCGCCGTCGGGCTCCAGGCGCCCTGGCAACAGAGCGCAGCACGAAGAGCTGGTGCCGAGGCGAGGCCCCGGGTCCGGGGCCCAGTCTCCCTCGGGACCTGTCGGCTTCATGCCAGATGTCCATGCCATGGGTGTGTCACCGATGCACGGAGGACGTGGCTGGGCTCAACATGCCTGAGCGTGTGGCCAGGTACTCTCTTCTGCCGAGAAACTCGAAGACAGAGAACTGCTTCTTACGTCTAATTCAACCAAATCTGCTTGGCACGGGGAGCAGAGAGAGACCCACGCACCAGGGCCCAGCGGGGCCATCGGGGGACAGCGGACGAAACGCTCGTGGCTCCGAACCCGGTGCAACCTCGCGGACGAAACCCTCGTGCCCAGAACGCTGTCACGATCGAATGTCAGGAAACGGGCTCGCCCTCTTCCTCCTCCACCTCCTCTGCTTCCTCTCCTCCTTCACCTCCTCGCCTCTGCCCACTCTCTCCTCCTCGCATCTCACCTCCTCCCTAGACTCCTTCGCCTTAGCTCTCCCAGTGCCATCCACCTTAGCGCGCTCCAATAGGGCCATCCGAGATGCTCCGCGAAATCGACACTTCAGAAAAACATTCAGGGCTCTGTCATCGACATGACCTTCGTAGCCAACTAGGCATATATATAGAGCCTGTCAGTAACGTCATGCAGGGCCGCATTGCCACGCGCTGGGTCTACTTTTCGCTCGTGGATCGGCTGGCATCACCTGATGGGGCAACCGGCGCACCTGGGATCCGATGCAACTAAGAGAGTCACGGATCACTGCTAGCTCGATCGCGCTGCGGCGACCCGCCCTAGAACCTGCACTGTTCTTCGAAAGGGCATCAAGAACACTCTTGGCGTCAACGGCGCTCAACGCCGACGCTACATCTCCGAGCTAACAGTCCCTCGGCGGTGGACAAACCTCCCTTTAGTAAACTACCCTTTAGTGAAAACGGCCTAGGACCGAAACCGACGGACCTGGGCCCGCAAAACGTGACGGCCGCGACGCCCTCTCGCGAGCCGAAAACGGCCAACTCGCTAATCGACGTGCCAGGGTAGGAGGTCTATCAACCTCCGAATCCCTTGGAAGCACTACGAAGGCCCTTGGGAAGCCGCCCAGCCCGGGCCCGAGGCATCCCTGGTACAGAGCGCCGCGCCGCACGATCTGGAGCCACTGGCCCCCCTGCTGCCGCGCCCGAGAGAGAAACAACCGCGGGGGAGGAGGCAGGAGGAGGAGGAGGAGGAGGAGGAGGAGGAGGAGGAGGAGGAGGAGAGGAGGAGGAGGAGGAGGAGGAGGAGGAGGAGGAGGAGGAGGAGGAGGAGGAGGAGGAGGGAGGAGGAGAGGAGGAGGAGGAGAGGGAGGAGGAGGCGGAGGGCGGAGGAGGCGGAGGAGGAGGAGGAGGAGGAGGAGGAGGAGGAGGCGGAGGAGGAGGAGGAGGAGGAAAAAAGGAGGAGGAGGAGGAAAAAGAGGAGGAGGAGGAGGCGGAGGAGGAGGAGGAGGAGGAGGAGGAGATGGAGGAGGAGAGGAGGAGGAGGAGGAGGAGGAGGAGGAGGAGGAGGAGGAGGAGGAGCCACTGCGCCCTTGCGGCGATCGTGCTCGCCACCGCTCTCTTGAGGCGCTGCGACCTCCAAGCCACAAGGCTTGCCCTGACCCGCTCATGTAAACGTTCTTTTATTCGGCGTTTCGAAATTGGGCGGAAGAGGGGGGGTCTGGCTCCAGACCTCTGCTTGGTGCGGCTGTTTGGAACAGGGCGTCCTCGAAACGGGCGCCAAGAACAGCCAAGATCTACTCCATGGGGGAGGGGGGGGAAAGGGGGTTTTGGGGCCCGCGCCGATCGGCAAAACCATGACTAAGAGAACGATCGCTGCTCTCCCTGATCGAGCCAGCCGCTCTGGGCGATCTCTTTGGGCCCCGCCTCGGCGCGCCGACCCCGGGGCGCGCTGGCGCCCGAGGCCGCCGCGGGCGCGGCGGGCGCAGGATCCCAGAGGCCACGGCGCTGTGCGCTGAACGCCGCGGCGCGGAGGTGCTCGGCCACCTCGTCTGCCGCGAGGGCGTCCTCCGCCGCGGCTTCCGGGAGAGCCGCGGCCAACAAGGAGGCGCTGCCTGAGACAGGCGGCCTGGATCCGCCAACAGGATGATGGGCTCTGGGCCGCGGCGGCGCGGCGTGAGGAGACCTCGGAAGACGGGAGGGGCTGGCCTGTCTCGGCCTCCGGGCCTTGCCCAGGGAAATCGGCGCCAGCTGCTCTAGCGCATGACCTCAGTAAGCAGTTAATACCCCCCCCCCAGGGTCATCGTTAGCACCGCGCCGTAATTGAATGATTCTTGGGGGCGGTCTTCGCGGAACGATATCTTTAGCACCGCGCAAAAGAAAGGAAAATCAATAATTCCCGCGCCTTGGCTCGGGCGGTACCCCCATGGGAATCTGTAGGATTCCCAGATGTTCCGATTCCCGCTTTTCACGGTCAACCAAAACCGTAGCCCCCCTGACTTGACGCGCGTGTCGGCCAGCGCAGTCAGCCCCCCCGCCGCCCCACCTGCCGAACCTGCGCCGACCGAGCAGCCGCCTCTTCGAATCTGGTAGCACCCTGGCATCTCTGGACACTGTGAGATCGTCTACTTCGGTTCGAATCAGCGCCTCGAGCTCGCCGTGCGCTGACCTCTTCAGCCGCGGGCGCGGCTCCAGGAGGGCGCGTCGGAACCCGAGCTCACCGACGTAGTCCGTCAAAATCCTATGCCACGGAACTGGGGGCCGTTGAAGTAAATCCGTTGACCTGTGCCACCACCTCTACGAGCTGTTCCCTGGACATCCCCAAACCAGAACGCGGCTCAACAAAGTTAGATCCTCGAGGCAATTGCTCTGGCAGAAAGCGTTCTTCGCATCGGCGATCCCCGGGGCCCAGCCCACGCGCGCGATGAGCTGCAGAGTCAGCGTAGTAGATTCAGACTGAAGGGTCGGGGCCTAGACCTGCAACGTTTTGCCGCTGGGGTTCTGGTGGCGATGACGTCGCCGCCTGTTCTTCGCGATCGGCTCACTACCCGCCCCCTCCGTAGGCGGACCACCCGAGACGAGAGAATCTGGTCTGGTGGCGTCTTCGGGCCAATGTGGACTCTTCGACGCTGAGCGCCAGCGCGGCCCCTGACTCCGCCATTGCCTGTCGCCCCTCCGCGGCCGACGCTTCGAAGGGGATCTTTTCCTCCGAGGACAGATTGCGCGGCTGCACCGCGGCTCCCCGACGGGGGGCGGGCCTTCGCGGCAAGCGTGGCCGCGCTTGAAAAACAATGCTTGAGATCAAGTACAAGGGTCCCTCCATCGGCCCTCGAGGAGCGCGATAATTGGGCGTCGCTGGTCATTCCTCGGGCCAGCAGTTCCTCGCGGAGCGAACGATCCTGGTCGAATTCCTCTGACGCGTAGAAGCCCCCCCTCTCGAATAGACCCAGCGCCGTTTTTCCAGGCTCGTTCCCCGCTCCTAGCGTTGGCATGAGACCGTCGGGACGCACAGTGCCTCCTTCAATGGCAGTGGGGGGCGCCGGCGTCGGAAGGGGAGTTCCACTCCTTCCTTTCGCCTGCGCCGCTCCCAAAACTGACTCTCTACCTCGACTGGGCCCTCCGACCAAGCTGGGCCCACCCGCGGCAGCGACGGAACTGGCCCTCGTGGCGCCCTTTGCTCCGCGATCGCCCGGGAGGCTCCAAGAAGCCTTTAAGAGGCCCCTTAAGAGGCGCCAAAAGAGACCCCAAGAGGTCCCGAAACGGCCCGCAAGAGGTCCCCAACATGCCTCCAAGAAGCAAGTCTCAGGCGGCGAACCACAAGCGAACGGTACAACACTTGACCTGGTGGAGACCCAGACTTGGTGGAGACCCAGAGAAGCGTACTTCTAGACAAAATGAAGGTATGGCGTGATTCGGCGAAGCGCGTGGAGTAACAGCCAACTGTGCCAACGTCGCCTGCACAGCCTCCCACCTCTCCTGGGGCACCTCCTGGGGGCGGGCGGTTCAAGGTCTCGGAAGGTATCCTCAACACGGGGTCAAAAGCGAGGCGGGGGGCAGACCTGGAGATCACACCACAGCACAAAGTGAACCCAGAAAGAAGTTCGCCGTGGAAACTGCTAGACCCGCCAGGCCAGAAACGCAGAGCGTGGAAACGGTTGAGGCAATCTGAACGGACCCCTAGTCTGGGAGGAGAAGAAGGAGGAGGAGGTGGAGACCTACGTGAATGATTGGAGGAACAAGCATCAACACAAACACAAACTTTCGGGGTCCGCGAAGAACTTTGAAATTGGCAGTGGACCCCCTGGGCGGCGCCAGAAACCGCCAGGGGGGATACGGACTCCCTCCCCGCAGGAGTCGATCAAGGTCAGCTTGATGCCAGCTGCTGTGCGCGTGCCCACACTTCGTGCGAGGGCACGAGTACGGATGCGAAAGAACTTGGACGCCAGGGAGGCAGACAATGCCTCCCTCGCGGCCGAGATTGCCCCCCTCTAGGCGACGCCAGGGGGGACGATGAGGGGGAGGAGGAAGTGCTGATGGAAGATGGAGTTCTGAGGCCCCGGGCACACGGAGACGGCGACATCGCCCCCCATCGCCGCCGCGCCGAGCGGGGGCCCCGGCGCTGGCAGACGAGAGCGGCGGAGCGGCGCGCGGGCGCGCGCGGCCAGATCGGTCACGGCCTGTCTACGACAAAGAAGGCCCCGTCGCCATCATCACCACCACCATCACAAGTATCATAATCGCCATCATCACAACCATCACCACCACTATTACCATCACCATCAACATCATCACCACCATCATCATCGTCATCATCATCATCATCAGTATCAGTATCATCGTCATCATAAACATCATCATCATGATCATCATAATCACAATCGCAATCATCACTATCAACACTACCATCACCATCATCACCATCATCATCATCATGCTCATCATCAGCATCATCATGATCATCACCATCAGCATCACCATCATCAACAACATCAGCATCAGCACCATCAGCATCCGCACCCTCATCATCGCTATCCCCATCCTCGTCGTCATCATCTTCATCATCGTCATCATTTTCATCACCATCATCATCATCATCAGCATCATCATCATCAGCATCCTCATCCTCCTTCTCCTCCTCCTCACCATCCTCAGCATCCTAATCATCATCATTATCATCCTCCTCACCACCACATCGACATCATCGTCTTCACCACCATCACCATCACAATCACAATCACAATCACAATCATCATTATCATCACCACCATCCAGTACCATCATCATCACCATCATCATCATTCTCATCAGCATCAACATCAGCACCATCAGCATCCGCACAATCATCATCCCCATCCCCATCCTAATCCCCATCCTCATCCTCCTCCTCCTGCTCTTCCATCATTTTCATCATCATCATCATCATCATCATCATCATCATCATAATCCTCATCCTCACCCTCACCCTCATCGTCATCATCATCGTCATCGTCATCGCCCTCGTCATCGTCATCATCATCATTATCACCATCAGCATCGTCATAATCAACGTCATCGTCATCGTTATCGTCATCAGCATCTCCATCACTAGTATCATCATCATCACTATCATCACCATCATCATCTACATCCTCATTATCTGGCTATCGTGATCTCGTTAGCATCACCGCCATCATCATTATCCTCATCATCATCCTCATCGTAATCATCATCACCATCATCATTGTCATCACCATTGTCATCGTCATCATCATCTTCATCATCATCATCACCATCAATATCCTCATCATCATCCTCATTCTCATCATCTTGGATCATCATCATATCATCATCATCAGCACACTCACAATCACAAACAGCATCATTATCATCATCACCACCACCATCACCATCATCAGCACTATCAGCATCCACAACATCATCATCACCATCCCAATCGCCATCATCGTCCTCCTCCTCATCATCAGTATCACAATCACCATCATCGTCATTGTCACCATCATCATCATCATCATCATCATCATCATTATCATCTTCATCATCTTCATCGTCCTTTTCATCGTCATCGTCATCATTATCACCATTATCATCAGCAGCATCGTCATCACCATCATCATCAACAACAACATCATCACCATCATCACTATTATCATCACCATCACCATCACGATCACCATCATCATCAACTTCACAATCCATCATCCTCTACTTCCTCCTCCTCCTCGTCCTCCCCATCATCATGATCATCCACCCTTTTCCTCTCGCCCCCTCCTCCTCCTTCTCACCCACTCCCCTGCCTCCTTTTGCTCCTCCCGGACGTCCTCCAACTCTTCTTCTGCTAGTCTTGGGAGAGGTGCTAGCGGCGTCTGAAATTATACTCCTCCTGCTCCTTTTCGTCCTTGTCCTACTCCTCCAAGTAATCCTTTGCTTGATCGTGGTTATTCCATGCCTTTGACCCTATTCCATCTCATCATCAATCTCATAGCGGATGTACGGACAAACGTTTTGCACATACTGTTTCGTGGTTGCGGCAGCCAAGACTCCGCACGTACAGACGCCAATGAACTCTTGCAGCAGTTGTCGTTGCAAGGCCAGCAGGTCATCGGCCGCCACTGTCGAAAGGACACTCTGCACGTCGCCTGGTCTGCCCTGTTTCCCACTGCCCAGCGGAGAGACATCGTTTGCCGATGCCGCACAGGGAGGAGGAGGTGGAGGAGGAGGAATTGGAGGAGGACGAGGAGGAGGAGGACGAGGAGGAGGACGAGGAGGATGAGGAGGACGAGGAGGAGGACGAGGAGGAGGAGGAGGACGAGCAGGA